TAACATAACAAAAGAATACTCCTACACCCTCCCCTCACTTATTGAGATTGTTAGGGCTCAAAGGCCGGGTTGTTGTGTGAAAATGGAAGATAACCACATCAGGTCACAAAATGGAGGAGTGCTACATCACTGCATAACTGCCAAATCACATCATCAATAACTGCCGAATCACTGAGAGTCATGGTCTGGTCAAGGTGCTACATAACCTTAGCCAGCACAGCTGTGTTACTCTCACTTTACACGTTGGTGTTCATTAATAATGTACACATTGTCAACATAAAAAAGACTTGGAGACTAGAGGTTTTTTACTCTTGTCATAAATATGAAAAGAGGAGAGAGTATAAAAGTATTTCTAGACAGGATCATATTTACAGGTACAGAAGCTAAGATTTAAACACAGATTTTGTGGGGACACATTTTATCCCTAACAACCCTGATACATATTTCTTCCTTCATAGCATTTAATGACTTTCAAACACCATTAATTTACTTATTTAAGTTAATGAGGTTATCATGTGTAGGAATCAACTCATTTTCTGTAGGTCTCCCCTCTCTTCAACGTAAACTCCATAAAAACAAAAATCTTTTTTTTTTTTTTTTTGAGTCTAAGAAGTGCCCTGGTCATAATTGTTGTGGTTAAGTGCCATGAAGTCAGTTCTGACTCATAGTGACCCTGTGTATAGTTTCCTAGGAGCAGCTGGTGAGTTTGAACTGCTGGCCTTTCAGTCTGCAGTTCATTGCTTATCCCACGGTGCCCTACCAATACATATTTGTATTTTAGAAACCTTTCCTTACTATTTCTTTTGTCTTTGTATTCCTAAAACCTAATCCAATACCTGACACTTTAAAAATATTAACTGAATTAATCTAATGAATTAATGCTATACTGCATTAAGTACAGCTTTCCTCTCCATCCGCTCCCCCACCCCAAAAAATAAATAAATATCCAGGAAGGAAGTAGATAAGTAAAAGATAGGGAAATCTGCATTCTTAGATAATTTTGGATTGTTATTTTTGTTAAGCACCATTGAATCATTTCTGGCTCATAGAGATCCTATATTGTATAGGGTTTCTGGGGATTGACTGGTGGATTTGAACTGTCGATCTTGTGATTAGCAGTCCAATGCCTATCTTATGGTGCCACGATAAAGATTAGGAACTTTCAAAGATCACCACAGGGTGGCTCAAACTTCCAGGGGTCGCCACCTGTTGGCAAAATTACAATCCCTAGGCAAAAAGATGCAATTTAATTGAATGAATGGTCCCTGGGTGTTCAGCAAAAGGTTGGGGTTTGAGTCGAGGCAGAGGTACTTGGGAAGAGAGGGCTGAGGATTTGCTATTGAAAGTCCTATAAAGTACAGTTCTACTCAGGCACACATGAGGAGGCCACGAGTAAGGATCATCTCCACAGCAACTTTTTAAAAAACGTTTTACTTGGATCAGGGGCGTTCTCCAGACCTAACTCCTCAATAGGAGTCCTGATGTGGCACTGGACTGAGAACCACAAGGTCGGCAGTTCAAACCCACCCGCTGCTCCTCAGGAACCCTATACAGGGTCGCTATGAGTCAGAATCAACTCAATGGCCCTTAACAATAACACCACTGAATGAAGATAACTGGGTTTATCATTTATACCATTGAACAAAAATTGGTACAGGAAAAATTTTCTACAATTCTAAAGTCACAGAAAGTGACATTTTGAATTTTAATAGACTTTGCTATATTGCCACAGACACTGCACCAACGTGTTGTTGTTATGTGCCGTGGAGTCAGTTCCGACTCATAGTGACCCTGCATAGGGTTTCTGAAGCTGTAAGTCTTTACAGGAGCAGAAAGCCTCATCTTTCTCCCACGGAACAGCTGGTAGTTTCGAACTGCTGACTGTGAGATTAGCAGCCCGATTCGTAACCACTACGCTACTGCACCAACATAGAGTCTCCCAAATGATCTATGAGGTAGCCTCTTTCCTCCTCCACTCATTATCACGAGCTGTTGTTAATGTTTTCATTTTTGTCATTTTGAAATCTTAACTGTGTTCTTCCCTATGTCTCAGTTTCCCTATTTGTAAAATGGAACTAATAGTAAATCTACTCCTAGGGTTTTCTGAAGACCAAATTAGTTACTTTATTAAAGGAGTTAGGGCAGTGCCGAACCACAATAAACACTACTGATGTTGGCTATTATTATTCTTTATCTTGACAAAATTGTTGTTATGGTTAAGTGCCGTCAAGTTGGTTCCAACTCATAGAGACCATGTATAGGGTTTCCAAGGAGTAACTGGTGGGTTTGAACCACAGATATTGTGGTTAGCAGCTATCCTATAGTGTCACACCCGTATCATTCTCTATTGCTATTTTAGGAGCCCTGGTGTGGCACAGTGGGTTAATGTATTGGACTGCAAAGTCGGTTTGAACTGCAAGATCAGCGGTTCAAGCTCAACAACTGCTCCTAGGAAACTCTATACATGGTCGCTATGGGTCGGAACTGACTTGACGGCACTTAACAACAACAACATAGCTATTTCAAAGTCACAAGTTACGGGGTTTTATTTTAGCTAAGTTTTAATATACTTTTTAATATTTTGTTCTATTTTATTTAGTAACAACAAAAATTTGTGAAAGTTTTCCTTTATATATATGCAGGGGCCAGCCCTGCACGGACCGGGGTTCAAGGAGGCGGATTTGAGGATTGATGTGACAGGGGGACTCAAGGTGGTCAGTGGAGAGTGCTTTAATGTCTTATAGATTCAGTTTAAGTACATATTTCTTAGGTATGAGGGAGAGGGGAAATCATTCATCTTTAATTAATGATTCATAAGACCTTTGCTAGATCACAATACAATTGATATCATTCAGTGAGAATACTAAGTTGGAACTCAGTACATGCGAAGATTGGTTTCATAGGTAGGGAACACAATTTCCAGGATAATTATAAAGATATGGCTCAAGAGCTACATACTACAATGGTCACATACTTCAGAGTAATTTTCTTAACTAACTTGTTTTTCTACAATATAGGTCTGTGTGGTCTTGGCCCATTGTCGATGGCTAGCAAGATCTTCCTTGTAGCTCTCTCCAAAGTCTTCTTTAGTTTAGAGAGCTACCGCTGGGTGGGCTTCACACACTTCCCTTAAGTCCTACATATATACATATTTTTAAAAGTTTTTATTGTGAATTGAGTGATCGTTTACTTGGGAGAACATCGGTTTTGCACTCATCCTATCATATTTTGTTTCATTGCAATGATTACAATCCCCTCCATGCATCATTGTTTCCCTCTGTTTTTTGTTTTATTATGTATGCAAAAACACTTAAGAATGTATAATCATTTAAACAACCAAAGGGCACATTCTGCAAGCGTGCCTTCTGGCCACCAGCACACAGCCTTTGTCTTTCCATGAGTCTAGAGTATCTCTCCATGCCATCACCTCTGCCTCCATCTGTGGTGTCTCTGCTTCTCTGGTTGGGGTCCCACATTCCACTCATGCTCTTCTCTCTTGATGGTCCTAGGGTCCTCTGTTCCTGGAATATAAGATTAACTACTTCCCTTTTTGTTACAAAACTTCTACCTTTACAGTTGTGACAATCGCACTTAGTTATGAGAACAGTTACTCACTGTTGAATCATAAGAATCTTATCCTCATTTCCTTTCACCAGACCCATCTAGACAAAACGAAAACCATTCAGTGGGGATTTTACCTTCCCCCACACACTCTGAAACTAAACTCCCTCTTGAATATTTGTAAGTCAGCCACTTAGTGCCTTGATAGCCCTCCTCAGTTTAGGTAGCCAATGTCTAAGTTGCCTGTCCCTACCAACCCTGTATACCGAGGGGATAGGCTTGATCCTTGATATGAAGACTGCTTCCCTCTCAGTTGATATTTTGAGCTACTACATCTATAATTATAGATCAAGTTCATTAAACTGTAGCAATTTACACTTGCTTCCTTTATAAAATTTCTTTATCTTCCTCTAGTCAAGCTCTGATCATCAAGCCATTGAAGGTAAGTCAAATGGTACCATCTGCAAGTTTGGGTGTTCTTGTGCGTCTCTCCTCACTTCATATCAGCTGGATGCTTCACTCTCAGCTCTAGCCCTCTGTGGTTATGTCCTTGTCCATGGGCTCAGGACTCCCCAGGTCTCACCATACTTCAGACCAACCAGCCATTCCTCATCTCTCTCTCATCTCAAGGTCGACCAACGTGGTTGCCAGCAAGCTTACATGCCTACTCATATGTTCCCTTTGAGTTTTAGTCTTGGAGGGGGGTTTCCATTACATTTTAATTCCATTTTACCATGAACTTTTTGAAGCCCCCTCAGATGTTGATTCTTTGCTGTCTGACTTCTTACAGCTAATATCTTCTAGGGCTTTTTTAAACTATATTTTGTTCCTTAATTCATATTTTGTCCTCTATTTCACAAAGTTCAAGTTTTATATTCTTCCAGGGCATGAAGAAGCCTTATTTAAAATATATTAATCCCCACAAAGGGATTAAATAAAATTTCCTTTGTAAAATACCCAGCAGTGTATTTGACACATGACGAATTATTTCAAAATGTTAGTTATTGATATTATTATTCTTATTATTAGCGTTTTCTCTTGAATAGAAAGCGTTTATTCTGAGTGAAAAGGCAAGAGAATTTTTCTTTAGATAAATTGCAAGCTAATCATCATATGTAAAACAATAAATAAAAATAGTCTGTATAGGATTCTTTGAACTAGTGTTAAATGATAAGCATATGTGTTATGTAAGAACAGGGAGTGTTTCAGAGAAAATATTTGGTGGAAATACGATGAACTTGATGAACCTAGACTAAATAAAATGAAAAAAACATATGTATAAAGAAAAATGGTATAAATTTCAAAAAGTGTCTCACTCACAAAGTTCTGAAGATTTAAAAAGCATTACTCATGGGCTGACATTTTGCTCATTCCTTATACTTGTTTTTCCTTATACTGTTGTTTGTTTGTTTGAAGACAGACAATAAAATCCCAGCACAATGCCCGTCATTGAAGACACCAATCTAATGGACGACAGTTCTGAAGAAGTGTTGCCCAAATGTTTGGTATGTGCTTATAATTCAGCAGTAGTATACAAAAGAACTCTTACATTGAAAACTTGTAAAACTTCAAACTATTGACTACCCAGCAATACCCCATGGGGGGTGGGTGTCATAAAGAGCACCCAAACTGTACTTCAGTGACTTAACGTTTTTTGTGACCGTCAAATTCAGTTCTTTCAAGGGCAGGTGAATATGAGTGTGAAGGTATTTTCCTAATAATGGAATGGGTTTTAAAGAGCAACCCTGTACTTTGACCCACTTTCTATTTGATTCTCTTGCAATACAGTAAAGGAAAATTCCACTTTTGGGCTAAATGACCCAAATTTGGATTCTAAGTTGAGACTTAGCTGTTTGTCCTTCCAATGCAATGGCTTCAAAAGCCTTTTAGGAATAATTGGATATGTAGGCTGGATGCTCTAGGAACAATTTTATTCCTCCAATATACACTTTTAGACAGAAGGAAGTTCAGATGGATCATTTAACACTTTTCTGCCACCAACTCTCAATGAGCCTTCAAACACTGGACCAATGTAGCCATTTGCTTTGGTAGAATTTTCCAGTGAATGATTATTAGAGCTTTCTCCTGTACTATGGACTCCTGGTGTGGCACTGTTAGATCATCACAAAGTCGGCAGTTCAAACCCACCAGCTGCTCTTCGGAAACCCTACGCAGGGTCGCTATGAGTCAGAACTAACTCCATGGCACTTAACAACAACAACAAAATCTTGTACTACATTCCAGAACATTCTGTGCTCTCGTGACTAAAGCATTGATCTAGATTAACTGGCTCCCAGTCTTTCTTTCTTTCTTTTTTTTTTTTAAATGTTTTATTGTGAATTATGTGATAGTTTACATGGGAGAGCATTAGTTTTACATTCATCCTATTGTATATCGATTCATTGCCATGGTTATAATCCCCTCCATGCATAATCAACCAACCAAAGGGTACACACTACAAGCCTGTCCCCTGGTCATCAGCACGTAGCCCCTCTCCCTCTCTGTGTCTAAAGTCCCCAGCTGTTCCATCTCTCCATGTCTTCATCTCTGCCTCCATCTCTGGCATCACTGCTTCTCTGGGTAGGGTCCTGCTCTCTGATGTTCTCCCTTGATGGTCCCAGTGACCTCCGCTCCTAGACTGAAAAGTTAATCACTCCCCTCCTTGCTACAAAACGTCTACCTTTACATTTCCAACCCTCACAATCAGTCCTGATAACAATTATTCACTGTTGTATCACAAGAGGCCTATCTGCATTTCATTTCATCAGCCCCTCCTAGACAGATTGGAAATTACTCACTGGAGATTCTACCTTCCTCCACGCTCTCTGGATCTAGGTTCCCTCTTGAAAGCTGGTAAGTCAGTCACCTCTTGCCTTTGTAGCCCCCTCATTTTGGGTAGCCAATGTCCAAGTTGCCCATCCCTGTCTACTCTGTATATGGAAGGTATGGGAATGATCCTTGTTGTAAAGATTTGTTCCCTCTTTTGAGATACTGCATCCATAGATGTACTCCCATTCTTTCTTGCAAGAAATGTTTGATATTGTTGTTAAGTACCATCGAGTCAGTTCTGACTCATAATGATCCTGTATTGGGTTTCCGAGGAGAAACTGGTGGGTTTGAACCTCTGACCTTGTGGCTAGCAGTCCAATGCTTATCCTACACCACAACTCCCAAAACAAACGTGGTGGTGTGCCCTCAAGTTGGTTCTGATTCATAGCGACCCTGTATAGGATTTCCAAGGAGAGGCTGATGAGTTTGAACTAGTGACCTTGAGATTCAAACTGGCCTTATGGTCAAGTACTTATCCTACAGCACCATACCAGGACTCCAAAAGAAATGTAGAATCACTCAAATCAGTCACAACTTTCATAGCTGTCCTTTCCATGGTAGCCTTAGAGTTTTAGATCTAGAAAGATCTTAAAGAGTGTAGAGCCCAGATCTAAGTGGTTCATTTTATAATGAAAGGTTTTAGTGATGAGTCTGAACAACACATGTTCAGGGGGAATACAGCTGAGATTTGACCCTGGAGCTTTTGACTCTTCTTTCCCAAGCTTTGCCCAAGATCAATGTTTGTGTTTTTGTGATTGTTTGTTGTCCTGTTTGCGTTCTTCTAGGGTCCGTGATTCCAACAGAGCATCACATTTACACCAACTCCATCTTTGTTTCCTCCGCAGCTACCAGAACTGTATGCATCTGCGGAGGATTTTGAAAAGGAGAGCAAGAAATGTACGATCCAAAAAATTCACAACATGTCCCTTAGTGAAGCACAGAAAATGCTTAGTCAAAACTTGCATGCCATGTCACTCATAAGTGACACTGATATGAGAAAGGAAGACACCCAACCTATTCTTACATGCACAGTGGTTAAAAAAGAGGACGGTGAGAAGCCCCAATCAATGACTGACCTCCTCCACCATACTCTGCAGTCGGGCTCCCTCTCCGCTGTGCATAAACTCCACAGGTCCCAAGAGAGAATATTGCAAAGTGGAATCCCTCCACCCAAGCACACCTTCCCTTATGAGCTTCTCATGGAATACTCCAAGACGTTGAACACAGCCGCCACCCGGAAGAAAAGCATTCCCAAGCCAGTCTCAGAAAAGTTTATCCCTGAAGATAAACTTCCTCAGTACGTCTCAATTAAACCAGGTAATCTAAACTGACGAGGCCACCACATGGAGAAAGCTAATGGAGATCTGAATGCAAAATGTACCTAGATTTCTTGAGCAGAAAAGTCAAATTTGGATCTTTAGGAATCTTGCAGTTCTGAGGTTTGCTGTAATGTGTAAAGTCGAGAATGTCATTATCAAGTGCCATTGAATCGGTTCTGACTCATAGCAACCGAGGAGCGGCTTGTGAGTTTGAACCACCGGCCTTGTGGTGCTATGTTTATCCTACAGTGCTACTCCAATAATTCTAGGGTCCAATGTCAGACTCATTCCTGGAAAACTGTATTATCGAGAGGAGTCTGTTATGTTTGGACTCTCAAGAACACAACTATTTCTAAAGTTCCTCAAGCCTTTACTGAAAAGTGTCTTGTAAAATATCTGACAATTAGAACAATTGAGTCTATTTAAGACGATTTTTCCTTTTCACCCTTTCTTTGCTGTACACCTGCAACAGAATTTTCAATATAGGCTACAAGCTACAGGAGTAAGCTCTCTCATAGCCATAAGAGGTCAAAGGCCATGTAGAAAGTGTGAAGGTTTATACAATGATGCTGCATCATTGCTGAATTTTTTGGTTTTGTAGTTTGTAGTAGTCAAATAGTTTCTTTAGTTTTCTTTTATTATTACTATTATTGTTGTTGCAAAAACACATAACACAACACTTGCCAATTCAACATTTTTCTAGTGTACAATTTTTCACTTACATCATCATCTTGTGCAACCAAGACCTGAGTTTTAATGAGAAACAAGTGTCTTATTCCTCAGTGTCTCCATTTTCCCCAAGTGGAGGGTGGTAATATTTGGTGAGAAACTCTGGTAGCGTAGTGGTTATGAGTTAGTCTGCTAACCTCAAGGTCAGCAGTTTGAAACTACCAGCTGTTCTGCAGGAGAAAGAAGAGGTTTTCTGCTCCTGTAAAGATTTACAGCCTCGGAAACCCTAGGCAGGGTCTCTATGAGTCAGAACCGACTCCATGGCACATCACCACCACCAATATTTAGTTGGAGTCCTGGTGTGGCACTGTAGGAAAACATTGAACAGCTAACTGCAAGGTTAGTAATTCAAATCCTCCACCCATGCCTCAGAAATCCTATACAGGGTCTCTATGATTTGGACTCAAACTGAGGACACTTAACAACAAGAACAATATTTGGTCAATGGTCCTGGTGGCACAGTGTTTAATTGTTCTGCTACTAGACAATAGGTCTGCAGTTCAGGCCCTCCCTCTGCTTCTCCATGGGAGAAAGACAGGACAGTCTGCTTCTGCAGAGCCTGCAGCTTTGGAAAACCTATGTGTTGGTTCTATTCTGTCCTCTGGTTGTTGTTAAGTGCCGTGGAGTTGGTTCCAACCTATAAAGACTCTGTATAGGGTTTCCGAGGAGCAGCTGTAAGCTTGAGCCACTGACGTTGTGGTTTAAACTGATTTTGCAGTCCAGCACATTAACGCCACACCAGGACTCCAGCAACCCTATGTTGTTGTTTATTGTTAGGTGCCATTGAGTTGGTACCGACTCATAGCAACCCTATGCACACTGCCAGAATGAAACACTGCCCAGTCCTGTGCCAAGCTCACAATCTTTGCTATGCCTGAGCCCATTGCTTCCGCCACTGTACCAATCCATCTTGTTGGGGGTCTTCCTCTTTTTTCTGACCCTTCACTTTACCAAACAAGATATCCTTCTCCAGTGACTGGTCCCTCCTGACAATATTTCTGAAGTATGGGAGACGAAGTCTGGCCATCCTGGCTTCCAAGGAGCACTCTGGCTGCACTTCTTCCAACACAGATCTATTTGTTCTTTTGGCAGTCCATAGTACTTTCAATATTCTCCTTCAACTTCATAACTCAAATGCATCAATTATTCTACAGCCTTCCTTATTCACTGTCCAAATTTCGCATGCATATAAGGTTATTGAAAATACCATGGCTTGGGTCAGGCACACCTTAGTCCTTAAACTGATATCTTTGCTCTTCAACACTTTAAAGAGATCTTGTGCAGCAGATTTGCCTAATGCAGTACATTATTTAATTTCTTGACTGCTGCTTCCAAGAGTGTTGATCCAAGCCAACTGTATTTGACAACCTCAGTCTTTTCCCCATTTATATGAATGTTGTTTATTGGCCCAGTTGTGAGGATTTTTGCTTTCTTTTACACTGAGGTACAACCCATACCAAAGACTGTGGTCTTTGATTTTCATCAGCAAGTATTTTAAGTCCTCTTCACTTTCAGCAAGCAAGGTTGTATCATCTACATATCGCAGGTTGTTAATGAGTCTTCCTCCAATCCTGATGCCACGTTTTTCTTCATATAATCCAGCTTCTTGGATTATTTGCTCAGCAAATTGAATAAGTAAGGTGAAAGAACACAGCCTTGGCACACACCTTTCCTAATTAAACCATTCGGTGTTCCCTTGTTCTGTTCGAACACCTGCCTATTAGTCTACATACAGGTTCCTCATGAGCACAATTAAGTGTTTTGGAATACTCATACTTCACAATGTTGTCCATAGCTTGTCGTGATCCACGCAATCTAAAGCCTTTGTATAGTCAATAAAGCATAGGTAAACATCTTTCTGGTACAATCTTCTTTCAGCCAAGATCCATCTGACATCAGCAATGATATCCCTCATTCTATGTCCTCTTCTGAAATCGTCTTGAACCTCTAGAAGTTCTATGTCGATGCATGGTTGCACCCATTTCTGTATTGTTGTTGTTGTTAGGTGCCATTGAGTCGGTTCTGACCCATAGTGACCCTGAACAGGGTTTCCGAGGCTGTAAATCTTTACGGGAGCAGAAAGCCTCATCTTTCTCCCACGGAGCAGCTGGTAGTTTCGAACTGCTGACCTTGTGATTCTCAGCCCGATTCGTAACCACTAACTTTACTCACATGGGATATCAGTGATATTGTCAAATGATTCCACATTCCGTTGGGTCTCCTGTCTTTGGAATGGGCACAAATACAGATCTTTTCCAGTCAGTTGGCCAGGTAGCTGTCTTCCAAATTTCTTGGCAGAGATGAGTGAGTGCCTCCAGTGCCCCATCACTTTGTTGAAAGATTTCAGTTTATATTCCATTTATGCCTAATTCTTTGCCAATGACTTCAATCCACCTTGGACTTCTTCCTTCAGGATCATTGCTTTTGATCATATGCTACCTCTTGAAATGGTTGAACATCGACCATTTCTTTTTGGTACAGTGACTCTGTGTATTCCTTCCATCTTCTTTTGATACTTTCTGCATCATTCAGTATTTTGTCCGTAGACTCTTTGAATACCACAAGTCAAGGCTTGAATTTTTTCTTTAGTTCCCTCAGCTTGAGAAATGCTGAGCATGTTCTTCCCTTTTGTTTTTCTAACTCCAGGTCTTTGCACATTTTGTTATAATATTTGACTTTGTCTTCTTTAGCTGACCTTTGATATTTTCTGTTCAGCTCTTGTACCTCCTCACTTCTATTTACTTTAGCATCTCTATGCAGTAACACTATGTTGTTGTTGTTAAGTTCCATCAAGTCAGTTCTGACCCACAGTGACCCTGTATAGGGTTTCTGAGGAGCAGCTGGTGGACTTGAAGTGCCGGCCTTGCAATTCAAACTGACTTTGCAGTCCAGCGCATTAACCCACAATTCCACACCAGTACTCCACCAACCCTATAGAGTCATTATAAGTTGGAATCAACACTACATCAGTGGGTGATATTGTGTCTTTCTATGTTGCTATAAGGAGTCCTGGTGTGGTGCTGTAAAATAAACACTGAACTGCTTTCCACGTGGTTGGTGGTTCAAACCAACCTCTCCTTGGAAATCCTATACAGAGTGGTTATTAGTTGGTGCTGGATACGACTTGACAGCACTTAGTAACAACAACAATGTAATTATAAAAATAGGTGAAATAAATGATACAAAATATTTGAGCTTTTCTGAAGTAGGTTCTTGAGATAGCCCAGAAAATAGTTGGCACTCCCATTTTTACATTTAATGTAAAGGGAGAGACAAAGGAATAAAAATAAAGCAATAGATTGACTGGAGTCCTGTATGGCACTGTGGGCTAATGCGGTAGGCTGCAAGGTCCATTTGAACTATAAGTTCAATGGTTCTAACTCACCAGCTGCTCCTCAGAAACACTATACAGGATCTCTATGGGTTGGAACTGACTTGACGGCACTTAACAACAACAATAGATTGACCAGTTGGAACATATTTGATCTAAGTAGCAGGAACAATCTTTGCTGAAGAGCCTTCTCTGCTCATTGTTGTTGTTGTTGTTAAGCACTGTTGAGTTGGTTCCAATCCATAGCAACCCTGCACAGGGGTTCCAAGGAGCAGCTGGTAAGCTTGAACCACCAATTTTGTGAGGCAAACTGACTTTGCAGTCCAGTGCACAAAGCCATGCCAAGACTCCATTGTTCTCCTTGTAATTCTATTCTAGCCTCACTGGCTCTTTGATCCCTGGTTTTACACTCAAGCCTTGTGCTTTCTTTGCTTGTTTATGAGGCTTATACTTTATTTAGTCAAGGAGGGAAATTAATGGAAAAGAAAAGAAAATGGCTGCTGAGTAGAAGAGTAGACAGAATATCGTGATTGGACTTTCTGTGGCTCATCTCTTTTTGAGGGAATTGTAACTACAGTAACTAGGTCCTAAAGGAGTAAGAAAAACAGGCAAATTCAAGTGAAGTCACTGCTCATATATACCCAAGGCTTGCATCTTGAGAGAAATGACACTAACCATTTTTCCTCCCCATTGACCTCAATGCCCTGCTGATCTCTCCACATTCTGTTAGTATCCAAGTACTGCTTGGCTTGATCTTGTTGGTTAAGTTATCCAGATCCACCCAGTTTCATATATGAGAGAAAGAGGTAGATAGGATGCAGACCATAGGTTCCCCCATAGTTTATAAAAGCTCCAGAAACAGCTCCTGACGAAAGAAAGGAGCCTGAAGCTCATTAGACTTTTATCCTATCCATAGATCATCTCAGAGTAACTAAAAGTTAAATAACAACACCAAGTGATTCTTTGAAAATGTGATTCTTTTTCAGAAAAACAATTCATGGATCTAAAGGATCTAGAGTGGAGGTATTATAAAGGGATTGTGAAATGGACACACCGTACTTCAGATTCATTCATAAAGATCAATTACAACAGGGAGAAGAGATTTGTGGAGAGCCAGCAGATGCCTGAGGATATATTCCCCCCTCTAGTTAATAAGTCTTTGTACATTTACCCTCAGGATGATTTTCATAAAAAGTAACTTCTTTGTTAAATGGAATATATAGTTCATAAAATATCTTGGACATAAAATTTTATTTTTGAGAACAGTAGATTCATTCACAGAAATGAAAGAAGCACAGGCATTTAATAGAACACAAGACCTGAACGTATACATAATGTGTATGAAGTCTCAAATTGAACCATTTGTATGAAATACTGGATTCAAGCTAATCTGCTCAATATATGGCCTGGTTTGGACTCACAATACACATTTGGACCAGGGTTAAGGCAAGTATAGATCATATGAAAAGGGAAACTCCCAAGCAAAAAAAAAAAAAAAAAAAAAAAAAAA